ATCATACAGATAATTTCATGGAGAAGTCAGAATTTGCTCAGTCTTTCTTCATAAAAGGACATAGCAAACAAAGCAACCTTTTAAATTAAATATTCCAGTTCTAAAATTACTTCATGTTTTTGTTTCCAGAAAGATGCATGCTGCATGCTGGGAAACTTCACACATCTGATGCACATTTCACCCTAACCATCTGGATAATGTAACATTATGCGCAAATGGCTTTTTCTATCTAAACGGCACATGAAAAGTACAAGAATCAGCACTGTTCCTGTTTGCAAACAGGTCGTAAATGTACAATTTTAGTTTAATAGTAATCTCCTGTTATTGGGGCCTGCCCATAGCAATGCATAAGGAGAGCAGTAGAAAGTCAGTCACTTGCAAAGCAAATCAGTCACTGCTCTCCTTATGCATTGCTTTGGGCAGGCCCCATTAAAGAGGCATTCTATTAGAGTGTGGGAAGCAGTGCGATTTTGACCCCAAATAAATTCTGAAATTGCTGTCACGCCCACAAATATCGCCTTATAGATATCAAACTCAGTCATGACATTGATGTGCGTAACTGCTCCAGTAAAAATGTTTTTGAAATTTTCCTAGGGCTTACGGTTTTCTGTCAAGGTGCTTCAGAGCGAAGTCATGCGACAGGATTTTCACACACTCAGCCAGATTCACTTCCATGTATTTCTGAAAAATGTCAAACCTCAGCACACACCATTTTTATGTCATTACTGTTTAAGAAGACTGGTTGGAGATGACAGACAGCACTCTCATATGCTTCAAACGGTTTTCCGATACGCATCACGGTTCCTGAACGGGAAGGAGTTGTTCGGACTGCTTTTTTCATTCAAACTGACTGCATGTCTCACAAAGATAGAATTCTTTCTCCACCTTTCTGTCTCACACAGGACAGCTGGCAGAAGATCCATTACCATAGCAACGGAACACAGCAGGGCCTAGCAGCTGATTAGGACTACAAAAAACGCATCCAGGTACTTTTTACTATGGCAGAGCTCTGAGGACTGAGCTGGCCTTTAGAACTTCTTCTATTTGGGCATTTTAAAACTTACTTTAACCAACCATTGTTACACATAAAATTAGTATGTCAATTTTAAATTAAGCTTAATGACAATTTCAACATAAAAGCTTTCTCTCAGGCCTTTCAGAAAAACTAACTGCTTCAAGCGTTTAGAATTAAGTCTGTCCTTGTGTGTCACACTGACATGACAGTCGACCTCCTCTTTAGAACTTCAATGCATGCTGGTTAGGACTACAACATGGCAGAAGAGGCTACAGAAGAGGTCTGAGGTAATTGTCAGAACTGCAACATGGTAGAACTGTCAGTTACTACTGAGGAAAAATGAGATGGCCATAAGTACTTGTTCTTTGGGAATTTTAGAACTGATTTCAAAACACCATAGTTATGTAACCTGGTTGAATTTATCTGTTGTTATAATTACTCAAAATGTTTTTCTTTGGTTATTTGTATGGGTTCCTACCTGACTGAAAATCTCTGTCATTGTTTTAACTGTGTTACTTTAAGAACGGAAGCCCCTCCCCTTTTGTTTCTTCCTCTGTGGTATTGTCTTTAAAATGTTTGCATCCCTTAGACCCTCCCCTTTTGTCACGTTGTCCTGTGGGAGAGGTGGGTATTATTTATTTTGTATCTAAATACATCCAGTTTATTTATTAAGTTAATTTCTGTTATGTACTTTTGTTTATGTATGGTTTGGAGTGGGCAGCCGGTAACACGGTTATTTTCTACTTGTTATTCTTGTCAGGTATGTTGTATAGAAAGGTTTATTTTGCATATTTAACATGTTGTGAGCTAAGACGCGGCCCTTTTGTCATGTTGTCCTGTGGGAGAGGGTTTGGAGCGGGCAGCCGGTAACACGGTTATTTTCTACTTGTTATTCTTGTCAGAATAAACCCTTTTAAAGGTGAACCACGGCCTGATCATTTAAAACCAGCACAACGCAGATCGGATCCGGTTACACTTGGTGCCGTTTGACCCGCTGTAACGTCGAACCTCCGCTGCTGAAGCCGCTGCTACGCTGTGCCTTTTCCCGCCCTTGAGGTCTGGCTCCTGATTCGCTGCGCCGAGCGCCCTTGCCCTGCGCTTTGACTGGCAGGCGTTGGTGTGCTGTATCCTGGCAACGAAGTCACTCTTTCTGTTGGTCTGTTTTGTGAACCACGTTTTGTACGACGGAAGGAAGAAAATAATCATTTTTAACCAGCACAACGCAGATCGGATCCGGTTACAGTTACACATGGGATTAGTGTTGCCATTAAAAATTAAGCTTAATGAAAATTTCAAAACAAAAGCATTGACAATTTTTATATCAATTGCTGTTTGGGGCATTTTATAACTGATTTAACCCAATCACTGTTACTCACGTGATTAGATTGGACATTTAAAACGAGGCTTGCTGAAAATGTCAAAATAAAAGCCTTAAGATTCCTTTCTGTCTCATGCCTATTTTAGTGAAAATGGCTGCCTCAAACTGATAGAATTCTGTCTCGACCTTGTCTGACTCACAGCTGGCAGAGGATCCATTACCACAGCAACGGAACACAGCAGGGCCGAGCAGCTGATTAGGACTACAAAAATGCATCACTGTAGTTCTTACTATGGCAGATCTCTGAGGAAAAAGCTGGACTTTAGAACTGCTTGTGTTTTGGGCATTTTTCACTAATTTTGGCCAACCATTATTCCATATGGAATTAGGAAGCTTCCATATGGAAGCTTAAAAAAAATTCAAAATAAAAGCCTTGACAATTTTTCCATAAAGTAATTGCTCTTTTAACCATTATATAATTGATTTAATCCAATCACTGTTACATATGGGATTAAATTGGCCATTTAAAATCAAGCTTACTGAAAATTTCAAAATAAAAGCCTTAAGATTCGTCTGTGGCCACGGCGCTGCAATAATATTAGCTTGCATTATCTTTTTCTCTCAAGTTAGGGCACTGTCTTGCACAGCTAGACAGTGCATTAGCACAAACATTAGCATTTCACTGTTCCCCACTATTATCCAGCACGATTATCCAGCACAATTTTTTTTGCTCAGGTTAGGGCTCTACCTTGCACAGCAAGACAGAGAATTAGCATTAGCCTTTTATCTTAAATAGGTATTAGCTATTTCTCTGGTTTATTACCCATGTTTGGTATAGTGAATGAAGTAAGTCAATTACAGAGAACATGCTAGTGATGTTCCACATGCTACTGACAGTATTCATGCTAACATTAGCATTTTGGCTAATTTTAGCTTATACACTAAACATACTGAATGGTGCAAATCCATGTTAGTGAACATTCTTGTGATTCTCCACATACTTCGTAATTTTTTTTTAGCCAAGGTTAGCATTTAGTATCAGAACGCTGGGTCCAAACCGACGGGCACACTTTGGCAGGCCCAGGTTAAATTTCTTCAGAAATTTTCTAGTTTTTTCTCTTTCTATTGAAAATTTTGGAAGAATCACAGAAATTAAACATAGTTCTACCATAGTCTGGCCACTCCCACCGCCTCTTAAGATTCTTCTTATTTTAATTAGCATAACCTTTCAGAAAAACCTTTTTAAAAAGTACTCAGCTGATTTGAAAGCTTCAGTGAATGCTCTCATCTTTGATGCTGTTTCTCTCCACTGCTGGCTCAAGATGAGTGCTGTAATGAAGATCTAATGGAATCTGCTGGTTTGTTAGAAAACTATGTAGGCACTGCACAATTATCCCTGTGATGAATTAAGACAGGAACTCGTTCTAATTGTATTTTAATCAAACTGTAGTCCTGTTGGACTGAACTGTTTTGGAAAAAATGCACTAAATGAAAATTGTTAGATTTTTAATATCTTCATCTATACTTGTACATTTATCTTACTTTAATTTGCTGGGAGACTTTTGTTTGCTACAGGGATCTGTGTTTCTTTTGTCTTTGAGGAAGCAATGCGCTTGTCACATTGGAGACGGATGGCCAGGGCAACAGCTGGCCTGGCAGGAAGAATGGGTCATTCGTTTACGACCCAGAGTCTCGGTAACTGAAGTTACGAACCAGATGGGGACTAGAACTGATCCAGAGGTCCTGAGAACCACAGTTTTATGACCTCAGATTTGCAAAGACGGGAATTTTCTTTTTATTAGAATAACAATTGTGTGTTGACAGATGATATCTGTGTTGCCCCTCCTTCAAGTGGTTGTTAACTTTTGTAATTAGGGTTCCCTATTCTGAATAATGAGGGGAGCAGTGAAAAAGGAGAGCAGAGTGAGCTAAGAGATTGTATAGTTCACTCTCTTATTTTACTCTCCTCAAGTTAAACATTTTGTCTCTTTTCCTGTGTATGTACATGTTACAAAATGTCTCGGTGATTTGAATCTGACAGAAATGTTGGGATCATGCTGGATGTCAGTTGGACCCATAGGACTAAAACTGCCCTTCAGATGACATTTACTGCAGCAAGTTGAGATTTTAACTGTTAATAAATATCTTGATGGAGACTGAACAAAAATCTAAATCTGCTTTACTTTATATCTTTTGGGGAGCTTTTTGTAATAAATATAAGTCTTAAAAGTGCCAGGTTTCATGAAAGGACTGAAGGAGGCCCTCTTGGTGAAACTGCTGTAGTGGGACGTTTAGATGTCTTTTCACCAGCAACTTCAGCATATCAGAAGGAGAAAAGTTGACAAAAGAACCCAATGACTGAGATCTTACTGCACCGGTGGAGGAGCAGGAGGAATGATAGGTACTTTCTCGACCTACATAAAAAGGAACCACAGACTTTTATTAGTTTTCAAGCAAGCGTTTGCAAAAGCAAGAGGACATAGTAACCCTGGCATTTCTGCCAGCCTGGCAGTGTTCAGTTCACCGTGCATTAAGCTAATAAAATTGTCTTTTTATTAGCTTAAGAGAGGGGGGGCTATCTTGATAACAAGAAAAAGGAGGAACATATAAACTAAATTCTTGTCAGGTTTAACACCTATTAAACACAGATTAAACAAACACAGGAAAGACGAGAGTTAGATTCTTTATCAACTCGCAAGGAGAACAGACAGAGATGTGCTTTCAGTTACAAATCTCCTACTGCTCTGAAACTACATTTGTCTGCCCCTCTTTTTATTACTTTCAGGATCCCTAACCACAAAGAACACTGCAAGTCTAAAAGGAAGGCGTTAACACTTTATCACATAGCTGCAGCGTCACTGACAATCACTAACTAAAACACAAGGTATTTTGTACTAGATTATCTCATTCCAGACACAGGGCTGAACAGAGCAAGTTGTACATCTTCACGGTGATATTTTTATAGCTATCTAGCAGGTCAAGGAGGCAGAACTTTCTGTTGAGCGATAATCCCTGCAGAAAGCTGTTGTCACTGCTCTTTTTCAGAGAGGCCTTCTGAGAAAGGAATCAGAAACATTCTTAATGCTAAGATGAAACAAAATAAAAGCATATAAGGCAAGGACATTATAAAGGTACATGAAGCAACAAATATTTGATAATATATACAATTTACCTAACAATTCTACACATAGACAGTTTTACGCCTAAGGAGTATCTCAGAAAGTTCTCTTAAAGAGGATTAAGACACCACCTGCAAAAACACGCTCAAGGTTAAAGAAAAGTTAGTCATGTCTTCCATACACTTTAACAAATTCCTCCTCTCTGGGGTGAGAACATTAAACTGAACTTTAAATAAAAAACTACTAATAATATAAACTACTAATGTAAGAAAGATAAGAAACATACTGATTCTAACAAGGAACCTTTTTATTTTGACAGTAAATGGGCTCAGCAAAGAAACAGAACCATTACACAGCACTTGAGCACCATTAAGAGCCTCTGCTTGGGCTCAGAGTCTAGTCTACATGTCAGTCAGTAGAGTTATTATACTAACATTATGAGTTAATCAGAATGAGCATGTTCTGTTAATCCATTCTCTGTGCTCCTCTTCTTCATCGGCTGTCCTCATGGATATCGAACTGTTTGTTGGGTTTGGTGGACTCCAGCATGAGTTCGTACAACTGGCCAATTTGTTCATCCTGGAACTGACTGAGAGTCTCGTCAGGCAGGTCAGCCCCGAACATCACAGTGCCTCGCTGCCTTCCTGCTGATTCCAGAACTTGGGCCTGCAGGGTGTTCTTGTAGTTCTGCAAGGAAGGACACAAAGATTACTTTTTACAAAACAAAGATTAGACACCTGCTCTTCTGCCTCATTGGTTCTGCAAGTCATTGAACACTGCATACGTCTGCCATCAAGAGTCCAGGTGTTCTTGAAGAAAAAGCCTGAAAATGTTCTCCTGTCAGACACAAAATTAAACAAACCGTGTTTGTTTCTATAAGGTTCAGAACTCCACCTCTGGGGCAAACAAGTCGAGGCCTAAGAAGCGCAAAGAAATCTACTGCCTCCTTAAAGATTTTTTCTTTAGCTTTTTTGTCACACTGAAATGTTTCAGAACATAAAAAAATAATTATTTGACAAAGATAACCAGAGGAAGTACAAAAATATATTTTTCAACAATGATTTCATTTCATTAGAGAAAAAAAAGCTTCCGTAACCAATCAGGACTTTAGTAAAAAAAAAGTAACTGGTTCCCAAACCTAAAACTGGTTGTGCCATCAAATATGTGCTTTTGTTGACAATATGTGTCTTATATTACTGTGCAAGAATTCTTCTCCTAAGAATTGTTCCTTTCAGAAACTTTGGAGTTTGCCTACTGCTTTTGTAGGTATTACAACTTGTTAGAAACTCTTTATGAGTCTTGCAACTGGTTATATCAAGATTTTTTTCTTGTTCATTAACAAGAAGGTTTATTTGTTTTCATGAGAACCAATTTTAATGAGAGTTTTGATTGTTTAAGAAGCATCCTTTCAAAGGAAACACCAGCAGGTTGGATTAAGTCACTGGCCTGCAACACTCACTTCTGGACCGAATGTTGCAACAATTGACAGTCGCTTGCATTGTGTTGCTGACTAAGCAGCAGTCCCTTTTACTGGGCATGTATTTAGCAGAACGGAAACCTCCCCATCAACAAGAAGAAATCTCCGGCAGAACCAGAACCAGGGTCTGCGTGAGCGGCCAACGTAGTTGATCAGCTGGGGTTTTGAGAAGAAAGACAGACACACATTCAACAAATAGACACAGGTAGTAGCCCTCTCCTCGGGCTGCCACTTTATTGTGGTGGAGGGGTTTGAGTGTCCCAATGATCCACTCTGGAGCCAGGCCTGGAGGTGGGGCACGTTGGCGAGCGCCTGGTGGCCAGGCTTTTACCTATGGAGCCCGGCTGGGCTCAGCCTGAAGAAGAAACATGGGTCCCTCTTCCAATGTGCTCACCACCTGTGGGAAGGGCCACAGGGGTCGGGTGCAGTGTATGATGGGTGGTGGCCGAGGGAGGGGGTCCTGGCGGTCCGATCCTCGGTTACAGAAACTGGCTCTTGGGACATGGAATGTCACCTCCTGGTGGGGAAGGAGCCGGAGCTGGTGTGTGAGGCTCAGAGGTTCCGGCTAGAAATAGTCGGTCTCACCTCGATGCATGGCTTTGGTTCTGGAACCAGTCTCCTTGAGAGGGGCTGGATGTACTTCCACTCTGTCGAGAAGGGGTGGGCATACTTGTTGCTGCCCATCTTGGTGCCTGTACGTTGGGGTTTACCCCGGTGAACGAGAGGGTAGCCTCCCTCCGCCTACGGGTGGGGGGACGGGTTCTGACTGTTGTTTGTGCTTACGAGCCAAATGACAGTTCAGCCTACCCATCCTTTTTGGAGTCCTTAGAGGGGGTACTGGAGGGTGCCCATATTGGGGACTCCCTCGTTCTGCTAGGGGACTTCAATGCTCATGTGGGCAATGGCAGTGAGACCTGGAGGGGCGTGGTTGGGAGGAATGCTCCCTCCGATCTGAACTCGAGTGGTGTTCTGTTGCAGGACTTCTGTGCTCGTCACGGATTGTCCATAACGAACACCATGTTCAGGCATAAGGGTGTCCATATGAGCACTTGGCACCAGGACACCCTAGGGCACAGTTCGATGATCGATTTTGTTATCGTTTTGTCAGATCTGCGGCTGTATGTCTTGGACACTTGGGTGAAGAGAGGTGCGGAGTTGTCCACTGACCACTACCTGGTGGTGAGTTGGCTCCGGTGGTGGGGGAGGATGCCGGTCAGACCTGGCAGGCCCAAATGTGTTGTGAAGGTCTGCTGGGAACGTCTGGTGGAGTCCCCTGTGAGACGGAGCTTTAACTCCCATCTCCGGCAGAGCTTCGAACACGTCCCGGGGGAGGCGGGGGACATTGAGTCTGAGTGGACCGTGTTCTGTGCCTCCATTGTCGAGGCGGCTTATCAGAGCTGTGGTCGCAATGTTATTGGTGCCTGTCGTGGTGGAAACCCTCGAATCCGTTGGTGGACACCTTCGGTGAGGGATGCTGTCAGGCTGAAGAAGGAGTCCTAGGCCTTTTTGGCCTGTGGGACTCTGGAAGCAGCTGATGTGAACCGGGCGAAGCGGCTTGCGGCTCTGGTGGTTGCTGAGGCAAAAACTCGGGCATGGGAGGAGTTCGGAGAGACCATGGAGAAAGACTTCCGTATGGCTTCGAGGCTATTCTGGTCCACCATCTGGCGTCTCAGGAGGGGGAAGCAGTGTAGCACCAACACTGTTTATAGTGGTGGTGGGTGTGCTGCTGACCTCGACTCGGGACGTTGTGGGTTGGTGGGCGGAGTACTTCGAAGACCTCCTCAATCCCACCAACATGCCTTCCATTGAGGAAGCTGAGCCTGGGGACTCTGGGCTGGGCTCTCCAATCTCTGGGGACGAGGTCACCGAGGTAGTTAAAAAGCTCCTTGGTGGCAGGGCCCTGGGGGTGGAGGAGATTCGCCCGGAGTATCTTAAGGCTCTGGATGTTATAGGGTTGTGTTGGTTAACGCGACTCTGCAGTATCGCATGGACATGGGGGGCAGTTCCCCTGGATTGGCAGACTGGGGTGGTGATCCCCCTGTTTAAAAAGGGGGATCGGAGGGTGTGCTCCAATTATAGAGGGATCACATTCTTAAGCCTCCCTGGCAAGGTCGATTCGGGCGTACTGGAGAGGAGGGTCCGTCGGATAGTCGAACCTCGGATTTTGGAAGAGCAGTGTGGTTTTCGTCCTGGAGGGACTACGTCTCTCGGCTGGCTTCGGAACGCCTCGGGATTCCCCCGGAGGAGCTGGAGGAAGTGGCTGGGGAGAGGGAAGTCTGGGCCTCCCTTCTTAAGCTGCTACCCCCGCGACACGACCCCGGATAAGCGGCAGAAGATGGATGGATGGATGGATGGATGGTAGTAAATGACTTTGGAAGGGACATGCTGTAAAGGTGAGGTTCTTATAGATCACCTAAAGTCCTACATAACTGTTCTTGTAGCATAAACAACCGTTCTAGTCACTTGATTACATTCATGATGAGTCAAAGCTGAAAAGTGCCGCATATGACTCATCCAATGAGCAACGGTGGCCCACCCCGATGTGTTCCTTTTCCTGTTTTGAAAAGCCATCCATCATCCAAGTCAATGTCTGCTGCTTGCCCATTCACAAACCATCTTGAGTTTGGAGTGCTCTCACTGTGAGCAATAATAAGCCATTTATCTGAAAGGCTTCTTCCTGCACATAATGTAATTATATTGAATACTTGCCAAAGCGGAGAGTGAGAGGGTCACAGCTTAAAGGAATACTCCAAGATTTTACCTAGACTTTTTAAAGTCACACTGCTTGAGTGCAGATGTAAACTCTTTGTCATGCCAGTTTTGGTCTGTTTGATGTGCACTGTTTAATGAAAATATGACAATCATCAAATAAGCCACATAGCACAGGTGAGGTACATCAATCAGGTTTTACCACCAAGACACGATTTTTCTCTACAGTCGTTGACAGCTGAAAAACTATACAAGGTGGATATTTGTTAGTCATCTATTGTTAAAAACCTACGTGCACTAGGATTAAAATATATATAGCATGGCAATCTTAATGTGTCTTAACTGTGCTCTGAGGGAACAGATGAAACCAGATATATAAATAGTGCACATGGAGAAAATCTCAGGGCGCAATGCTACACCAAGTCATTGGGAATTAAAAAAGAAAAACCGATTGATGTATGTCTCCCTGAGTCACACATCAGTCCCTCCAGGATATGTAGGTAGATACCTACATGTATATTTAGTGTTAAGAATTAAAAAGAGGAATAACTTAATTTAGCTCGTTAATTCATTCCTCTGATCCCGAATTCTTGTGTCTTTCTATATGTGCAGGAAGAAAGAGCAATCATACGACGTCAGACTTCAGATATCCAGAGTTTTATCCAGAGAAAATCAATGCAAAAAGATTGTTACAATAAGCATCTCACCTAGATCATCAAAAGTCCAAGACATGACAAAACAGAAACAATTAACTGAGTAAAAAGGAAAACAGAAACAGAAACAAACAAAAGATGCATCCTTTGGGAACCTCTCACTCAGCACAAAGAGATTCGAACTTCTGCTGTAAAACAAACCATTTTATAAGAATGTGTATTCTCCTCATTTAAATATATGCATTAGGAGGTGTGTTTTTCCTTTGTGTGGGCTGTCTTAAATGTTAATTTTATTACCTCTGAGACCCACTGAAACACCCAGCTCTTCTCGTACCAGCGTCCTTTAGGCGACCTGATTTACGGCGTGGATCTGGAATGTTATCTCTGCCTCAAAATGATTCAACAAGAAACCAGTTGGTGTTTTTTAAACAAACGCGCAGAAAATGTATTGCTTAATACTAACTATAAGTTGGATCTAAAACTAACTAATTAAAATCATGCTTTTTAATGCTTAAAGAACTATATTAATATGTTTGATTATATGTTGTAACAGACTTCTATAGTTTTTAATGTTTGCCTGAACTATTCAACCCTAAGTAAAGAATTTATTGCCCTGATAGCCAATACACTCCCTGTCTGAAATGTTCCTTAGGAAGTGTAAGAGTGCTTTCTGATTAGAAATTTATGTAAGTTCAGAGAGTCACCAGTTGTCTTAGTTTGGATTTGTATCTAAGTTTATCTTAATGTAAAAGTTAACTTGTGTACTATTGTGCTACTTTTAAAATTCTATTTCAACAGTAGGTAGATACCTACATATATATGTAGGTAGGTATCTACATCTGGACCCT